TCTAGCTTGTTTGCTGCTGTTTCTCGTTGAATTTCTGGGATCTGAATCTGTGTATTTGTTGATTATTCAACTGTTATTAAGAAAATTTGGCCTAACAGATACCTGCTTATTACTCCTACCTTGTTCTATTTCTTGGTCGTGGTTGAATGAGAGCGTGTTAGTAATAATGGGTTCGACTATTTTTGCCTATTAAACCTTCTTTGTTAGTTTCCATAAAGCTTTAAACATGATATAGTGACTGTATTTTGGTGTTTCTTTTCCAACTCAATTAGGAGTTTTTGGATTCGCATTTCTGTCCACCGTTGATAAGTCTGCAAAAGGAAACAAACAAATACTACTATTTTTATCGGCATGTTAAATCTATTAGAATAATAGTGACTTTGCTAGCATTTTAGATGTCTTTTTTTATGTACTAGTTTCAAGTTAATTTATTTTGGTGACTTTGTTTAAAAATCAGTGGCTATAAGACAATACATCAAATACACTATGTAGCTAATGAACCGTTTTTTTTATACTCAAATTTCGATGCTGTTAGATGCACCGCAAATGAAGTGTTGAATTGGAATATAAGGAATGATCAGATAAATTCATCTTTGTGTCTTACACTCATGAATATTCAATGTTGTCGACGTGGTTGAGAACAAGATTCACCTATTGTAGTTACTTAATTTTGTTGATTTATGCTTCTTGGAATAAATTCAACCTTTTTATAATGCAAATTTTGCTTCATTGGAGTTTAATAGCAGAACAAGACAAGTTTGTAAGAACATTTAGTATTTGGAGCATATGGCTCATTTATGTGAAACTTTAATCCAAGCTCCATGAATTTGGCTTTCACGCTGGAATCAAAACATAGGATATGAACAATTATGAACACACGCTAGTTACTTTAGGCGCGATTAATAAATCATCATGGCCATGGGTACGGTTCTCGTGACATGGTCATGATACGAATCCAATTCGGGGGTGCATTTCATGTGACCCGATTATAACAATTTCGAATAATAAAATCTTTTGAAATAATTTGAGGCATGCCATGCCAAATAAAACCCCTAAATTCATGGCCCTCACTTAATTAATTTTAATCCTTTAGAAATCGAGGTGTGCCATTTAGTTGACTTTTCCATGGCCCTCGCAAACTTAAAAGTGCGTAGTTGTTTTAAGCGCGTAATTTAATTTAATTTCCTTAAACTCGGGTGTGCATTTCATGTGACCCACATCCAAATCTCAACAACTTTAAATAAAATATGTCGGGGACTGCGGGTGCATTTATGTGACGTGGTTCATGACATGTTTTAAATAACGTTGAAATCTTCCTAAAATTTATTAAATAAAAGCGGCTAATAAGTTAAAATGCACATAGGTTAAAACATGTACTAAAATCAAATAATAGGCCAATTATAACAGTTGAGCGACCGTGCTAGTACCACGGAACTCGGGAACGCCTAATACCTTCTCCTGGGTTAACAGAATTCCCTACCCGGATTTCTGTGTTCGCGGACTGTAAAATAGAGTCAATCTTTTCCTCGATTCGGGATTTAAACCGGTGACTTGGGACACCATAAATTATCCCAAGTGGCGACTCTAAATTTTTAATAAATAACCCCGTTTCGATTGTCACTTTAAGTTGGAAAAAACTCCCTCATATATACCCTCCCGGGATGTAGGTAAAAAGGAGGTGTGACACCGACATACCGATACTGTACCAAAATATATATTATATCATGCAAAACACATATTATCAATTATAACATAAATATAAAATATCTAAAATTTTACTTTTCTTTATTCTCAAAGTTCATCAATTAACTCTAAACAAGTAACAAGACATTTCTAATGATCAAATACTCTTTTATGTACAATTTTCTCTATTTGGGTCAATATTTGCTAGTTTTGGACAAAATTTTTGTCAACAAACATTTTCAGTTTTGTATTTTTGAGTACTTTAATTAAGAATAATAGAGTGTATGGCTCTATGCACTAGTTAATATTCAAACTGAATAAACCGAAACCGAAAGGAGAAAAACCAAACCATACCGAATTTAATTAGGTACGATATTGGTATAGGATTTTAAGAAACCGAATACCAAAAATACCGAACCGAAATGTCTAAGTACCATATCGTACCGACCAACGAACACCCCTAACCGAGAGTTACACTCAATTGATGAAAGAATATATTTATTAAAATAATAATTAATAATTGAAAAGAAAGAAGTATCACATCAAAGTTAAAATGAGAATAGATTAATTAATTAAGATTCTAAATTAAATTGAAAATAGTAGTATAAAAATAAAATGATGTCAAATATTTTGAAACTTCCCAACTTTCAAATGAAAACTGATACTCCCTCTGTTTCAATTTATGTGAACCCATTTGATTGGGCACGGAGTTTAAGAAAAAAGATAAGACTTTTGATTTTGTGATGTAAAATGAGGCACATATATTTTGCGTGGCTATAAATCATTGTGTAAAGGTAAATTATTTCCAAATAAGGAAAAGGGTCATTCTTTTTGGCACAGACTAAAAAGGAAATAGGTTCACATAAATTGAAACGGAGAGATTAGAATATATGGGTCCACCAACGTCTATTCAGGTTCAACGGTTACACACAGAGAGAACAGAAGTTAAAAGACAGGAGGAATTTGGCGTTGAAAATTCCCAGCTCAACGGGATTAAAAATCACGATCTACCCTTGTAGGATTTCAACTTCACTACTGAGCAACTTTCAGATTACAACCTATGCAACATAGGAATTTAACTCGTAATCCCTCACTAACTTGTAATACACCTATTACAAGCCACTTTGCAATAACTCTATTACAAAGACTTTGAAACTTGACTAACTCTAGCCAAGACTTAAACACGCAGGTTTAAGGTTTACATAAATAAAGTGCTTCTAAATAAGCTAGATAGGAATTCCAATTTGAACAGCTATTACAAAGTTGCAACTCAATTAAGGACACACAATAACTCGATGTGGAAACTGGTCCGTAGTTGCTTTGTTCTTTGTTCTTGAGGCACTTGAAACTTACTCGCTGAATGGTAACATGAGAGAGCTTTTTGCCAAAATCTCTAAGTGTTCAAGTAAGTTGTTTTACCTCCCGTGAATACATATATACATGTGTGACCTCATCAAGAATGATGCAATCAAGATAGGTAAGAAGTCTTCTCTAGAAAGTTGACCGCATCACTGTTCTGCACAGTGGGGTGTGTAGGCAGAACTTTCCAGCTGTAGAATTGACTTCATACAGTCTCCTCGGGAACTGATAGGGACCTAGTCCCTCAGCTGTTCCTTCCACTCTGAGGAGTTGAATCGTATTCCACGCCGAGTCCCAATTTGGAGTCTTGTGAACTTGAGTTCTTGTGAATGTGTAACAGGTTCCTTGTCTGGTTCTGGATAGTAAGTTTGTTAGATTATCAAAACATAAGTAAAGTACTTATAATTGAAGTACATGTAACCTGTCAATTTCTCCCTTTTTGATGATGACAAACTCATAATTGAAAATCCTAGAAGGAGCCACAAAAGAACCAGATTGTGAACCGGAAGAGCCTTAAGTTCCCCACGAAACTATGCATTCACTCTGTTATTCAATTAAGTTCTTCTCCCTTACGTTCCCCCTGAAACTATGCATTTATCCTTTGTCAGTACCTGAACTTTTGTGAGTTCCCAGTTTCCCTTAGTTCCCCCTGAATGAGGTTCCCACAAAGGAACCAGATTGTGAAGGACCTTAAGTTTCCCCTTTCCTGTCTCTATTTTGTTTAGTCAATTCAATTAATAATCAGCCTCATCTTCCTCCTTTTGGCATCATAAAAAGATAGAACAGGTTAGCAGCATAAAGAAATCTAGCATAGTTAACTCATGTCACTTATATGCTCATAACATGATAAAACACAGAAGTAAAAGAGCAGCATCATAGATAGCAAAAGCGAAACAACTTGCATTAACCAAAATTGGACTATTACAGGCGGGAGCAGAGTCATTGTGTTACACCCACAGTTTAGAACAAACAAAAAGAATTACCAGAAATAACAAAACATCACCACAACAACTTAAAAGGATAGACATTGAAAAACTAGACACCAAGGGGATATTCTTTAAGGGACACTAGAGGAAGGGGGCTTGGAAGAGGAAGCAAGAGTTTAGAGGACAAGATCCATGCGAGCATTCGCGGATAATTGCTCATTGAGTAGTCTTTCCTTCAGGCCCTCCACCTGTTTCCTTAGTTCAGCATTCTCCTTTATTAGGCGTGCAACCTCTGCGCTGTAAGAACCACTGGAACCAGGTACCTCTTGCAACTGATTGAGCTGATTCTCAAGAATCACATTCCTAGCCTTCAACTTCCGGATCTCCTCTGTGGCACTATTCTGAGCATTTATCAGCTAAGAGATTATGGAAGTGCTTCCAACTCCTCCGACTTTATCAATACACTCACACTCCTACAGAGTAATTTTTGAAAAATGTTTCTTTTTGGTCCCCACCTTGGCCTGACCCAGAGGTACTTTGAAAAACTCAAAGACTTTTGTGAGAAGGAACCCATAAGGCAGTCCAGGATTCCCGTCTTTTAGGTTCTCTACCTTCTGCATATGCTCAATTATTATGGGAGGAGAAATCGTCCAAAGTCTCCATAAGGAATAGGTCATCTTTGGATGCAACAGACCTTCTTTCAGCGCGGGGAAGCAATACTTTGTTAACTATCTCAAAGAGCAGCTGATAAACTAGAAGGAGTGCGTTTTTATGCACTTGTTCCCCATACTGTACTGTCTTGTCCTTGACAATTGTATTTCTGAAGTTTGGTGTGAAAGCACCCTGAAAAAATGACACTCCTTCGGTAGGAACACCCAAAATTTGCCCCAATATGGTAGAATCCATCACTATGTCCACCCCATTTACCAACACACAAATTTGATCACCATCTACTGTGAAGAGACTGGTGTAGAAACTCCGCACCTCATCCTCATACACTATAGGAGCCTCACTTGTAAATAAATTGGTCCACTATTGAGCATCACACATAGCCACTAATTGTCTCATCCCAGCACTCTCTAGAATGTCAGAGGCAAGTGTGCGGCCCCACATCACTTTTTGATTCCCCCGCTTCGTTTTATCAGACCTCAGAGTTTCACTCACTTTTCCTTTCTTGACGGAACCAGGTTCTTTATCCTCCTCCTCATCATCCCTCTTTCTTTTCACTAACTTGCTAACAGACTTTTCCTTTTCCAACAACTTGCTCTGTCTATGTTCACCGGATTTCTCCACTTCTTCCTCATCAGACTTGTCACCATGCTTCTTCACTATTTTGTCACTAGAACTTTTTGCCACTTTTTTACTGGAACCAGCAACACCACTCTTGGAAGAACTCTCAGCACCCTTAAAGGTGTGCTTTTCAGAAAGAGAGTGCTTCTTCCTTGAAGACTTTCGGGACAGGGAACTAGGTTCCTCTTTGGTTTCCTCATCCACATTCACTACAGGAACATCCTCTGCTTGTACCACTTTTCCATCTTTGACCAACCTTCTCCTTTTTTACTCCTTTTACTCTTCTTGAGGGCAGACTCTAGAGCCTCCTTTTGCTGCAACCTAGTAGTGGGTCGCTTAGGAGGTGGCCCTGAAGCTACCACTGGCTTAGTCCTAGCCCTGATGAAACTAGAATACACCAAATCATTTGCGTCTTCTTCACTATCAGGATTTGTCTCATGCACCACCATATTCAAGGGCTCAACATCAAAGTGGGGAGAGGGAGCAGGATCAACACTGACTTGGTAAGATGACTCCTGACCTGGATTCTCCATGGAGGGATCAGGTTCATCATTTGGATCCCCAATAATATCATCTTGTGCCGGCTGTTCAAATGGCACAATTGCTCCCTCTTCTTCTGTTCCTCCCTCCTGTGGCTCAAACCCTTCTGCACATTTTTTCTATAATGACCCCTTCTGACGCAATGGACAACGTATTCTCTATTTCCTCTTTTTCTTGTGGTTCCATGGTGATTTCAATAGACGAAGAAGTGATGCCTTCAGACTCATCACTTGTCCAGGAGATCTCATACTCTTCAATATTAGTCACCGGTTCTTCACTCAAGTGCTCAGCCATGGATAGAGTGGAAGGTTCCTGAACGAGGTTCCCTTGTTCACCCTGATGACTCTGTTTTTCTGGTGAGACTAGAGGAGGACAAACATCTTCAGACTTGCTTAGAGGAGAAGTGGACTCAGAGAGGGTATGAATGGTAGTGGAGTGTGGAGAAGAGTCTTCTTTAGGGTTTGGAGAGAGGTTTACCTTTGAATTTCTCACTGGTGAGGACTCAATCGCAGTGTTATCAGGAATACTAAAGGTTGCTTGATTTTCAGACATGATGAGATTTTTCTCGAGGGACTGTGGATTTGAGAAGAGAGAAGACACACAGGGAATTTTAGACTTTGGAAGAGAAAGGGTTGTGATATTGGTTTAATTATGATGAAGGACCCGTTCTGAAACGGAGGCACCCTTTTTGCTTGGGAGATATATCGATTAGAGAAAAGAGTGACGTTTGGGTTGTGACGTATTGGATGAAAAGACACGACTTTAAAGAGACCGTCACACTGATGTTGATGTGGCATTGTTTTTTTGTTCATTTTAAATTATGTATGAAAGAACAAAGAAACCACTAACCTACGTTAGAGAACGAGGTTCCCTGATAGGTCTGGCAAGTGAGTTTTATCCCCTTATTCATCATGTACTGTAGCATCTGCTTCTGTAGTCATCCTGCGTGTCTACCTGTAATGGTATAAATGTGAGTTAGACTTAGCCAGAAAACACTTTAGCTAGCTTTTACCTAACTATGACTTTCATAACCAATAATGAGGAACCAGGTTCTCAGTTGTGTTTCATCATTCCCTAGTGCAAAGTGATCTTTCTCAAAATGCTTTCTTCCCAGGACTTTTGGTGAAGATGTCTACAGCTTGATCTTCAGCAATCACTTTATTTGCGCTTTTTGAGTTGGACTCAAGCTCTTACAATTTGTTGCTTGGTCCATAGCACTTTGTTGCTTAGTCCATAGTACTTGACCACAACAGGATGCTGATTATACATATTTTGCTTCAGCTATTGAGAGTGACATTGAATTCTGCTTCCTTGAGCCTTATGAGACAAGATAGGAACTTAGAGACTGTCCCTCCCTGTCCTAGTTCAGGCGAGCTTTTCCTATCCATTTACTTGGAGGATAGTAGAGAATCAGGTCCAATGTTCTACTAGGATACCTCAAGATACTTACACCATCCTTCAGATGAGAATACCTTGGATTTGACTAAGACCCTGCACATAACTCAACTCTGACCCCGATGTCCAGTCTACTTGTAGTGAGATACAGGAGTGATTCAGAGATGTCTCTATGCAAAAGACTTCTTTCCAACAGCTTATTTTTCAGCTTCTGTTTTTGTAGATGCGGGACCTGGTTCCTAACTGGAATCAATGGGCGTTCTCTACCTTGATCAGTATTTCTATTTTCTTTTGAGACGAGTATGTCAGAGGGATTCCTCCATCTCTTCTACCATAAGATTTTCAAGGCTGACCCTTCCCATTATTGAGAGCATGACAGTTATACCCATATATCCTCACTTGAGTCACCAGCTTTAGTCAAGATGTTTGCTAACCCTTCATCAATCAATATTGACCGTGCCTAGATTTTCAAGAGTCCCTTTCTTCTCTTCAACATAGAATTCATCCACTTATGGCATTGTCCAAACCTATTCCATGATTTAGTCTGATGAAAGCCACTTTTGTTTTTCTTGGTACCTGGATCTTCTTGACAAAAGCCACAGTTTCTTGAAAGATCTCATCTTTGGTTCTGAAGTGCTGTTTGCCTCTTTTTGGCTTGAATAAAGTTCTGACATGCTTTTCTTTTGCACAAATAGTGTACACTTCATGATACTTGTTCCTCAACTTGATTAGACCACGAACCAGGTTCTTCAGATCTAGTTTGTTTAGAGATAGACAATGTGCATGCTCCAGGACTTTGTCCCATGATTTAGTATTGTTTTCAACAGCTTCCAACCAACTTATGTCTCCACTCTGCAGAGGCTTAATCACAGCACCATACGTACACTTGTGTCCTTTTGGCTACAACAACACCTCACCAGTCACATGCTTTGAGATTATGAATAGCCTGGACAAACATTCCACCTTATTTCCTTTGGCACAAATTTTCCAACTCCTAGAGCGTACCCACAACCACCATTAAATCATCTTGTTCATGTTCTATACTAGCAATTTTCTCTTCTAAGGCCTTCTTATCTCTTTTCAGGTTCTCTATTGTCCATTTCAAATCAACTACAACGACTACTAAGTCATCTCTGGTTTGTTTAGCTTTCCCTAGTTCCAAGTTCTCTACCAGGTTCGCTAGTTACACACACACAAAGAACAAAAGTTTAATGACATGAGGAATTTTACGTGAAAAATTTCCAGCTCAACGAGATTAAAAACCATGACCTACTCTTGTAGGATTTTAACTTCATTACTGAGCAACTTTCAGATTACAACCTATCTTAATCCCTCATTAACTTGTAATACACCTAATACAAACCACTTTGCAATAACTCTATTACAAAGACTATGAAACTTGACTAACTCTAGCCAAGACTTAAACAAGGATAAAATTCTTGACCATTAAACCTAGAAGGTCTGTACGTGGACTGGCCTTTTTCGAAGTTTGGAGGAGCACACATGAGGATCCTTTCTAGGTGTTAACCTGATAGAAAGAACCTGCTCTGATACCAATTAATAAAGTATATGGGTCCACCAACTTCTATAGAGAACCAAGTTCTCTATCAGGTTTGACAGTTACACACATACAGAGAACAAAAGTTAAATGACATAAGGAATTTTACGTGAAAAATTCCCAGCTCAACGGGATTAAAAACCACGACCTACCCTTGTAGGATTTTAACTTCACTACTGAGCAACTTTCAGATAACAACCTATGCAACCTAGGAATTAAACTCTTAATCTCTTATTAACTTGTAATACACCTATTACAAGCTACTTTGCAATAACTCTATTACAAAGACTTTGAAACTTGACTAACTCTAGCCAAGACTTAAACACGCAGGTTTAAGGTTTACAGAGATGTTCCTATAAAGTGCTTCTAAATAAGCTGGATAGGAATCCAATTTGAAGAGCTATTACAAAGTTACAACTCAACTAAGGACACACAAATAATTCGATGTGAAAACTGGTCCGTAGTTGCTTTGTTCTAGAGGCACTTGAAACTTGCTCGTTGAATGGTCACATGGGAGAGCTTTTTGCCAAAAATCTCTAAGTGTTCAAGTAAGCTGTTTTACCTCCCTTGAATGCATATATACATGTGTGACCTCATCAAGAATGATGCAATCAAGATAGGTAAGAAGTCTTCTCTGGAATGTTGACCGCATCACTATTATGCACCGTGGCGTGTGCAGGCAACAACTTTTCAGCTGCAGAGTTGACTTCATACAGTCTCCTCGGGAACTGATAGGGACCTGGTTCCTCAGCTGTTCCTTCCACTCTGAGGAGTTGAATCATATTCCACGCTGAGTCCCAACCTGGAGTCTTGTGAACTTGAGTTCTTGTGAATGTGTAACAGGTTCCCTATCTGGTTCTGGATAGTAAGTTTGTTAGATCATCAAAACATAAAGTAAAGTACTTATAATCGAAATACATGTAACCTATCAAAAACAATGTTTAAATAAATTGAAAGTGAATTTGTGATGCCCGTGACAGAGGGCAGGCCGATGGGGGCGGGTTAAGCAGGACCGATAAGGGTAGGTTTCTAGGCTGACAAGTTTCTGAATAAAGGGTGCATATGTCACCTTAAGCGAATCCCACATCCGAATAGGAGAGGAAAATGAAGAACTTTATAAGGCATAACACAAATTCACATAGTACGCTCGCTTTTGGGCTCGACGTGGCTTAGCCCAGAAAGACAAATCCATGTGTGCCTAGGCCCAAAGCATATAATATGTTCCATGGGTTTGGACTGTGACACATATGGTATCAGAGTTGAATCTCCCTCGTTATGATAGTAGGACATTATATATAGACCTTGTTGGTGCAAAACTTGAGTATGATAAACAAGTGTGTCTGTAGCTAACCCCCAGATATGGTGAACTTGCATTTGCTAGGTTAGTGAAAACCAAAGTCTCGTAGCATCCCACAATGATCTTGTAGCACAATCTCCAATATGGCCGCTAGCACAGGTTTCATACTAGCTCTACCTTTATTATTAGCGCCTCGGCGATTCGACATGATAATGTGCACGATTCCATTGTGAATTATGGATCTATCTACTCTCTTGATTGTTGTCTTTCAGTGTTAGCTCCATCACAGCTACAAATTTGAACGAGCTTGGACTTGTTAATTTTCTAGTAGTGAGCGAGCCTTTCAAAAGACATGGGGCAGACTAAGACAAACACTTTTTCTATTGTTTTGTTTGAACAACACTGGAAGGATCTTTGACATATTTTTTTGGGTATGTAATTGTCTCCTCTTGTTGTTTAAATATGAAATGTCATCTTTTCTGGAGCTCAAATTAAAGCATTTTAGATTCTTGATAATATTATATGTCGTATCATCATTGTGTTCCTGTAAAAATAATCAGACATACAAATGTCTTTCTAACATGTTTGCACAACATATATTTTAGAAAAGTCACAGAAAGAAAGGGCAGTTCGGTATACGAAACATCCCACGACGTTAAAATTAGCTTAAGTTTAGAAGGATTTAGATCTGAAAGAACGAACGATCAAAACAGAAGTTTTTGATGCTTTCATCATAAGGCAAATAAGCAGGCAATGAATATGCTATTTCTTGATCAGAAGAATAGAGAACATCTATGTCCAACTAAAATTAGTTCCTCTCACTTTTTTTGTTTTGTACAATTCATTTTCTGATGTAGAAAGCAGATGCTTGCTTCGTGCCAGCACAACAGAATGAAAACTGAAAAGATTCGCTCAGTCCTACGTACAGAGATTTTGTTTACTACTACCATAAATCCAAACATTGAATCAAATTAAAGTAAAACAATTGGATTAAGCTAAGAGCCAAAAATCCTTGTGACGCTTAGTAGTAATGAGATATCCTCCATACTTCCTGCTCTTCCTTCTCACAGCAATTGTCATGCACTTTGCATTCTGAATACAGTGTTCTACTACTCTGCCTCTTGACTTTTTCCCTGTCCAAATCTTGCGTAGGCGCCACATTATCGATCTTTTTCTTTGTCCCAACACCAGTAATGAGACTTTTCTATGCTTGGCTGCTTCAACAATTACATGACCTTTTTCCTTCCCTTCTTGTACTGCTATCTCCACTTGGACCTGTTAAAACACAAATCATCACAATTAAAAGCCGAAGCAGATTTAGGTTTGGTCTTGTGGGTTTAATTGAATTCATCGCTTTCGCCTCTGAACCAAGTTTACATAAGCAAGAAAAAATTAAAATGTAAAATCGATCGAATTGGTACGGAAGTTGTAACATGGGAAAACCACAGAAAACATGACTTATTTGAATAACCCGATGACCTACCAATTGTATAAGTAGAATTTTTGGCAAGCAATAAGCACTAAGATAACATTTATTCTAAAATTATTGGCTTTAAATTCTGAATTCGCATTTAACTAACATCAAGATTGAAATCAAATGCATTTTGTTCTTGACATTTCTCTCTCCCTACCTATCTGTCTATCTCTCTCTCACCCTCAGCTGATTGAATGATTGAATAATGAGACAAATTTCTTAGTAGAAAATAAACACATGCAAACATGAAGCCAAAAAAAGTACTAGGAGTTTACTTGTAGTGTGGAAATGTTGCCTAGAGAAAAAGATTGTTTTTCCTAATAAGACTTAGCCAGTTGGCTTAGGCCAACTAGAAATATTTTACAGCACTAATTAGTTAGGTTTGTTAGTAACTTTCCATGTGATTTGGTACGGACATATTTGGGCTGACTCTGGCCTCTGCATCTAAATTAACACCACTTGGACATTTTCTACAGCTTTCTTAGGTGAAAACAATAGTTTTATAACTTCAGTATCCAATCAATCAAAAACTCAGATGCAAAGCAATTTCAGAACTCAACTCACCCCTGGTCTCTTTGTTTGGCACATACTTTTCATGGAGTTAACAAGTTCATAGGCCCTCTGATTAGTGTTTTCACCTACACATATAAATAACAAAAAGGATATTAGTATAATGAAAGAAATGTGGTGTTTTTTTGGGTTAAAAAAGAAAAATTTACATACATAGTTGAGAGGGCTTGGTTACATAAAGCAGAATAATGGTATCCTGGATTTGAACAGTATGAGTAAGCGCCCATTGAAGAGCACCTTTGGCTTCAAGACTTTGATCAACCACAACCATGACTCTATTACTAGTGTCAGAATCCGGCCTAGATTCGTCGCTGTTGTAGTTCATCTCAATGCTATTTTTGCTGGAAAATTCAGACTTGTTATCATCGGATTTGATCAAACTAAGTGTCTTCTTGTATGGTTGACAAGGCGAACCGCGGGGTCGAACATGGACTACAGTTCGATTCATGCAAAATCCTCGTAATTTTACACGTACACGCATCATCTTTGATGCTTTAATTTGTTCAAAAAATAGCTTTGAGGAAAGGAAAGAAACAGAGGAAAATTTGTGGTGTTTGTGGGAAGTTTAGTGCTAAGTTGTGTATGTGATTTGGAATATGTTGGAAGATGCGAGGGAAGAAGGGTGTGAATTTATATATATGTTATGAGTCTTGTGACCAAAGTTAATGGCTTAGAGGTCATGTCAATCATTTTAATTGAATTTGTTTTTATCTTGGATTTTCCAAAGGGATAGGTGGGCTTCTTAGTTCCTTGACGTGCTTAGCATGAAGTTGGAGTAGACCGGTACTGACTAGTTGTTGAATTAAATGTTGTCACATTTAGTCAAATCTGAGGGAGGAAATATGCATTTCAATTTCACCCAAGCATTACTCATTTTGTCCAAAATTAGTTGTCGGGGCAAACCTTTTTAAAACAAAAAAAATAAGAATCATTTATTACTCCGCTTCTTTTCCAAAATTTATCCTTACTGTTTTAATTAGTGGAATATTTATGGGGTATTATCACTTCTAACCCGCGTTAGAAATTATTTATATTCAGTAGCCGAAAAAGTATATAAAATTTGTATATAACATAATGTATAATATATGCATAATGTGTGTGTGTGTGTCTATATATATATATATATATATATATATATTTTACTATTATTTTGAGAGCGGTTATACATTATCATTTTTTTCAATATTATTTATTAAGTACGATAGTTGAAAGAAAGATAAATGGTAACTTAAATTAGGGACCGACAAACCGCACCAAATCAATAAGCCAAGTCAAATCGAGAAAAAAAATCTGACTATGGTTTGATATGATTTGTTTGATGTTGGAAAAAAAATCCAATCATAATTGGTTTGATTTGGTTTTAACTAAGAAAAGTCAAACCGAAACCAAACCAATCTGATATTACATGTATAGAAGTTTTAAATATATTTAATACATAAAAATATTATTATAGTGTAGTTTATAAATATTTCTTAAATTTTTTCATAATTTTATCTTTTAACATATTATTTCAAGCTTGAACTTATAATTTTTGAATGCTCCAATAAGTTTTATATTCCAGAAATGTTAGTAACTCAAATTAATCCCAAACCAAAATCAAATTAATATTAATGCTAACAAAAGACATTCAATTCAATTATACTAGGAATGACAACAGTGTTAAATATCTATTTTTAAGGCTTTCCATGGTTTAGATAAAATGCGCCACTTAATTTATTTATTTTAGTATTTAGTCATGTAAATAATAGTAGTAGTTATTAGTCCTACTAATTTTAGCAACTTAGTAATTTTAGATTATGTTTATTTTCATTATGAATTATTAATAATATTTTTTTATGTAATTTTGTTATATTTATTGTTGATATTTTAATACAATGCTATGACTCATCTCATATTTTATGTTATTTTCTTGAACAACACCTTATATAATAATGTCTTATTAGGATTAAGGAAATATTTGGAGCACAAATTCTATGTTTTGTGCTATGAAGACTTCATGAAATAAAACTTGAGAAAAATCTAGATAAAAATATCCGACTTTTAATTGATTTGGTTTGGTCTTTAGATTTAATAATCCGACACAATTGGTATGATTTGATAATTGAAAAATTCGAACCAACCTACACCCCTAACTTAAATAATTACTATTATGATTAAGGCTATTATATGTTTTTTAAAGATATCCAAGGATACTTAAAAAACAAATAATATGGATTGAAGATAGTAACAGGTTCCTTCATAGGCTGGACTCAATATCATTTTGTTTGACATTTTAAAATGAGAAAATTGGGTTTTCCTTTTGATGAAATATAGAGAGTGGGTTCTAGTGATATGACATCTTATATTCAGAGAAAATGAAAACAAGAACTTCTGTGTAAAGATGTCACAACTTAAAAGGCAGAATATTGGAGTGCTCAGATTTTAAACAGTTGTAATGTTCT